CCGGGCAGCTGGCACGTGCCACGGGCAGCACTGAGCGCAGGCCGGGCAGCTGGCACGTGCCACGGGCAGCACTGAGCGCAGGCCGGGCAGCTGGCACGTGCCACGGGCAGCACTGAGCGCAGGCCGGGCAGCTGGCACGTGCCACGGGCAGCACTGAGCGCAGGCCGGGCAGCTGGCACGTGCCACGGGCAGCACTGAGCGCAGGCCGGGCAGCTGGCACGTGCCACGGGCAGCACTGAGCGCAGGCCGGGCAGCTGGCACGTGCCACGGGCAGCACTGAGCGCAGGCCGGGCAGCTGGCACGTGCCACGGGCAGCACTGAGCGCAGGCCGGGCAGCTGGCACGTGCCACGGGCAGCACTGAGCGCAGGCCGGGCAGCTGGCACGTGCCACGGGCAGCACTGAGCGCAGGCCGGGCAGCTGGCACGTGCCACGGGCAGCACTGAGCGCAGGCCGGGCAGCTGGCACGTGCCACGGGCAGCACTGAGCGCAGGCCGGGCAGCTGGCACGTGCCACGGGCAGCACTGAGCGCAGGCCGGGCAGCTGGCACGTGCCACGGGCAGCACTGAGCGCAGGCCGGGCAGCTGGCACGTGCCACGGGCAGCACTGAGCGCAGGCCGGGCAGCTGGCACGTGCCACGGGCAGCACTGAGCGCAGGCCGGGCAGCTGGCACGTGCCACGGGCAGCACTGAGCGCAGGCCGGGCAGCTGGCACGTGCCACGGGCAGCACTGAGCGCAGGCCGGGCAGCTGGCACGTGCCACGGGCAGCACTGAGCGCAGGCCGGGCAGCTGGCACGTGCCACGGGCAGCACTGAGCGCAGGCCGGGCAGCTGGCACGTGCCACGGGCAGCACTGAGCGCAGGCCGGGCAGCTGGCACGTGCCACGGGCAGCACTGAGCGCAGGCCGGGCAGCTGGCACGTGCCACGGGCAGCACTGAGCGCAGGCCGGGCAGCTGGCACGTGCCACGGGCAGCACTGAGCGCAGGCCGGGCAGCTGGCACGTGCCACGGGCAGCACTGAGCGCAGGCCGGGCAGCTGGCACGTGCCACGGGCAGCACTGAGCGCAGGCCGGGCAGCTGGCACGTGCCACGGGCAGCACTGAGCGCAGGCCGGGCAGCTGGCACGTGCCACGGGCAGCACTGAGCGCAGGCCGGGCAGCTGGCACGTGCCACGGGCAGCACTGAGCGCAGGCCGGGCAGCTGGCACGTGCCACGGGCAGCACTGAGCGCAGGCCGGGCAGCTGGCACGTGCCACGGGCAGCACTGAGCGCAGGCCGGGCAGCTGGCACGTGCCACGGGCAGCACTGAGCGCAGGCCGGGCAGCTGGCACGTGCCACGGGCAGCACTGAGCGCAGGCCGGGCAGCTGGCACGTGCCACGGGCAGCACTGAGCGCAGGCCGGGCAGCTGGCACGTGCCACGGGCAGCACTGAGCGCAGGCCGGGCAGCTGGCACGTGCCACGGGCAGCACTGAGCGCAGGCCGGGCAGCTGGCACGTGCCACGGGCAGCACTGAGCGCAGGCCGGGCAGCTGGCACGTGCCACGGGCAGCACTGAGCGCAGGCCGGGCAGCTGGCACGTGCCACGGGCAGCACTGAGCGCAGGCCGGGCAGCTGGCACGTGCCACGGGCAGCACTGAGCGCAGGCCGGGCAGCTGGCACGTGCCACGGGCAGCACTGAGCGCAGGCCGGGCAGCTGGCACGTGCCACGGGCAGCACTGAGCGCAGGCCGGGCAGCTGGCACGTGCCACGGGCAGCACTGAGCGCAGGCCGGGCAGCTGGCACGTGCCACGGGCAGCACTGAGCGCAGGCCGGGCAGCTGGCACGTGCCACGGGCAGCACTGAGCGCAGGCCGGGCAGCTGGCACGTGCCACGGGCAGCACTGAGCGCAGGCCGGGCAGCTGGCACGTGCCACGGGCAGCACTGAGCGCAGGCCGGGCAGCTGGCACGTGCCACGGGCAGCACTGAGCGCAGGCCGGGCAGCTGGCACGTGCCACGGGCAGCACTGAGCGCAGGCCGGGCAGCTGGCACGTGCCACGGGCAGCACTGAGCGCAGGCCGGGCAGCTGGCACGTGCCACGGGCAGCACTGAGCGCAGGCCGGGCAGCTGGCACGTGCCACGGGCAGCACTGAGCGCAGGCCGGGCAGCTGGCACGTGCCACGGGCAGCACTGAGCGCAGGCCGGGCAGCTGGCACGTGCCACGGGCAGCACTGAGCGCAGGCCGGGCAGCTGGCACGTGCCACGGGCAGCACTGAGCGCAGGCCGGGCAGCTGGCACGTGCCACGGGCAGCACTGAGCGCAGGCCGGGCAGCTGGCACGTGCCACGGGCAGCACTGAGCGCAGGCCGGGCAGCTGGCACGTGCCACGGGCAGCACTGAGCGCAGGCCGGGCAGCTGGCACGTGCCACGGGCAGCACTGAGCGCAGGCCGGGCAGCTGGCACGTGCCACGGGCAGCACTGAGCGCAGGCCGGGCAGCTGGCACGTGCCACGGGCAGCACTGAGCGCAGGCCGGGCAGCTGGCACGTGCCACGGGCAGCACTGAGCGCAGGCCGGGCAGCTGGCACGTGCCACGGGCAGCACTGAGCGCAGGCCGGGCAGCTGGCACGTGCCACGGGCAGCACTGAGCGCAGGCCGGGCAGCTGGCACGCGCCACGGGCAGGGCTGAGCGCAGGCCGGGCAGCTGGCACGCGCCACGGGCAGGGCTGAGCGCAGGCCGGGCAGCTGGCACGCGCCACGGGCAGGGCTGAGCGCAGGCCGGGCAGCTGGCACGCGCCACGGGCAGGGCTGAGCGCAGGCCGGGCAGCTGGCACGCGCCACGGGCAGGGCTGAGCGCAGGCCGGGCAGCTGGCACGCGCCACGGGCAGGGCTGAGCGCAGGCCGGGCAGCTGGCACGCGCCACGGGCAGGGCTGAGCGCAGGCCGGGCAGCTGGCACGCGCCACGGGCAGGGCTGAGCGCAGGCCGGGCAGCTGGCACGCGCCACGGGCAGGGCTGAGCGCAGGCCGGGCAGCTGGCACGCGCCACGGGCAGGGCTGAGCGCAGGCCGGGCAGCTGGCACGCGCCACGGGCAGGGCTGAGCGCAGGCCGGGCAGCTGGCACGCGCCACGGGCAGGGCTGAGCGCAGGCCGGGCAGCTGGCACGCGCCACGGGCAGGGCTGAGCGCAGGCCGGGCAGCTGGCACGCGCCACGGGCAGGGCTGAGCGCAGGCCGGGCAGCTGGCACGCGCCACGGGCAGGGCTGAGCGCAGGCCGGGCAGCTGGCACGCGCCACGGGCAGGGCTGAGCGCAGGCCGGGCAGCTGGCACGCGCCACGGGCAGGGCTGAGCGCAGGCCGGGCAGCTGGCACGCGCCACGGGCAGGGCTGAGCGCAGGCCGGGCAGCTGGCACGCGCCACGGGCAGGGCTGAGCGCAGGCCGGGCAGCTGGCACGCGCCACGGGCAGGGCTGAGCGCAGGCCGGGCAGCTGGCACGCGCCACGGGCAGGGCTGAGCGCAGGCCGGGCAGCTGGCACGCGCCACGGGCAGGGCTGAGCGCAGGCCGGGCAGCTGGCACGCGCCACGGGCAGGGCTGAGCGCAGGCCGGGCAGCTGGCACGCGCCACGGGCAGGGCTGAGCGCAGGCCGGGCAGCTGGCACGCGCCACGGGCAGGGCTGAGCGCAGGCCGGGCAGCTGGCACGCGCCACGGGCAGGGCTGAGCGCAGGCCGGGCAGCTGGCACGTGCCACGGCCTCATTCCCACCTGGGCAGCTGTGCTGCATCACCTTCGAGACCAGCCTGGCAGCTTGTGCCGGTCAGTCTGTGCCCGGATTGCAACGGGGCAATCTATATGGTGCTGGTCTAGAGCGCAGGGTGGGGTGTGCTACTGGGGCTGGACAAATGGATAATTGGAAACTTATAGGATGGAATGGGGAAGGAGAAAGGAGAGCTGAAATCTTACAGGAGAATTTAAAAGAGGGGAAGGAGGATAAGGGAGTAGCAGCTACTGAGAGAAGAGTTTGTGGTGTAAGAATCCTGTTGGGGGAGGTGAGGTTGAGGAGGCTTTAAAAATCTGAAGAAAACTGAGAACCTAGAAGAGCAATTCAACAGCTAGGTTCAAAAGAGACTCCTCAGTCACTGGAATTTACTCAGGGAAAACTTAAGTACCAGCTCTTTAAAACAAAAGACAGGACTATGTAGCACTTTAAAGACTAACAAGATGATTTATTAGGTGATGAGCTTTTGTGGGCCAGACCCACTTCCTCAGATCATCACCTAATAAACCATCTTGTTAGTCTTTAAAGTGCTACATAGTTCTGTCTTTTGTTTCAGCTACACCAGACTAACAGGGCCGCATCTCTAGCTCTTTAAAAGAATTTAAAAAATTGGTTACAAAGGGAGAAGCAGAACTGGAATTCATTTGCAAATTCAACCAGTGTTGTCAACATGTCACAATTAACTGATAAGCCTAGGCTTATCAATACTCCTATGACTACACGCCTTTTCCTCCCTCCCCCTCTTCCATCAGAGGTGGCAAACAGGGGAGGCAGGAGCCAGATCCCATGAAGCCGCCTGTCCCCCGTCCATCCCCATGCTGATGCTTCTGATAGGCTACCACAGACAGAGGCTGCTCCATGGGATGCTGGCGCAGCCTCTGTCTGTGAGGAGCTTGGGCCCCCTGCAGACAGGGGCTGCTGCCATCCCTGATACAGAGGCAGCAATACAGGGTGACAAGGGGCTCTGCAGGAGTGGGGCTGAGAGCACACTGGCTGCTGGCCCTGCCCTGGGGACTACTGAATAATGATTTAACCACTAAGATTTGATGCGGTTACACAGTTATTAAATTAATAACTAATATCCCTAAATTTAACACTTATCAGTTTAGGACTGCATAAGAATCTCAACTGGTTAACACATTAGAAAGGCAATTTCTCCTCTCTGGATATTCACATCTCCACACCAAATGCTGTTAATGCTCCACGTCTACCCTGACTGGATTAGCTTCATTAGTACAAATAACTTCTTCCTTATACATACCCTGGCTTCAGTAAATTCCACTCCAATTCATCCAATAAAATGGGTTTTACCCGTAAAAGTTAATTCCTTCATAAATCTGTTTGTCTCTAAGGTGCCACAGGATTCCTCGTTGTTTTTGCAGATCCAGAGTATAAATCATGAGCAGAAATGTAGAGCAGGATTGAGTTATGCAAGCCAGAAGCAAAGGACTTTGTACACAAGTGACAAAAGGTTTTCCCTCTCAGCACAGATTAAAGATTAATAATTCTCAGAGTCCCTCTCTATCCACAGAAGCTGTTCTTCACCACCTCTTCCTTCGCCCAACCCTGAACATAATGATCACACTAACCCACTTCTTTAGCCTTCCTGCCTCCTCCCCAAGTGGGCGGACATCTGCTATTGGCTGCCTCATTATTATATGTACCACTCAGAAGCAGAGTCATCCCTAGATGGGTGCAGAGCCACAGATAAACCCACTCTGCCCTGCCTATTGGTCAACCCTGTCCAAGCTCTACCCCAGAGCACCTCTTCTCCCAAGCCCCCACCCTTGAACAATGTGATTTGGGAGATTACTCCCTGCCTTGCACCACAGCAGGCCTCAGGCCCCCTGCACTCATCGCTGTGGCAGGAAGCGGAGAAACTCGTCACCTCCTGAGGTTCCACACAGCAAGAAGAGTCACCTCTTGTAGGGGTCAAGCATGGGCCTGATGCTTGAACCAAAGTAAGCAAGAGTTACACTATGGCTGCATCTAGACTGGCATGATTTTGCAGAAATACTTTTCACTGAAAAGTTTTTCTGTGAAAAGTATTTCCGCAAAAGCGTGTCTAGATTGGCACGGATGCTTTTGCGCAAAAAGTGCTTTTGCGCAAAAGCATCTGTGGCCAGTCTACACGCGATTTTGCGCAAGAAAGCCTCGATCACCACTTTAGCTATCGGGACTTTTTTGCGTAAAACAGTTCTTCCCTGTCTGTATTCTTGCGCAAGAGGGCTTTTTCCTGAGTGGGAGCATGAAAGTATTTGCGCAAGAAGCAATGATTTTGTACATTACAAAATCAGTGCTCTTGTGCAAATTCAAGCGGCCAGTGTAGACAGCTGGAAAGTTTTTGTGCAAAAGCAGCTGCTTTTGCGCAAAATCTTGCCAATCTAGATGCACCCTATGAGTAACAGACAGGCCATGTCAAAAGCAAATGTTTGCCTGCAACTCAGTGTCTCTTGGCACTAGAACTGCCAGCACTAATAAAAGCTCATGAAGTATGTAAATACATTCCATCAGGACAGTGCAAAGACACCCAGCTAAGTACATAACAAAATAATTTGAAACAAGAGTTTAATCATGACAACGGATAGTAAATGCTATGAAGAAAAGTACAAGGGAAGTTACCAAATGTGTCATTAATGCGTAAGATTATATGTACATTGTGTATCATAAATTGTTCACTTCTCTCTATAAATATTGGGTTACCTCAATTTAATTCTTTGGCTGGTCTAGGGCCAATAGTAAAATCCATACTATCGACTGAGCCAAGTCCATTGTGGCGGGTACATGTATGTAGGGGCTCAGAGGCCATCCACCACCTATTAATGGCTACAATCGTCTATTAATGTACTTTGTTCGACAATAAACCTGACTCGGGTGCCTTTGTATCTTATCTGAGTCTTTGGTCTTTGAAAGCTCCCGTGAAGTCCATTATGCTAGCTACCTGCACAGAGCTGGCATAATATATGGAAGGAGCATACAAAAATGCACACAGCTGAATGTTTATCATTATGATGCTGCGTAGGAAAGATAGAAAGTATGGCAAAAGATCACCTTGGCTTAACCAGGAGATCTTGCATGCAGGGGCGGCAGGTTTGTATAATTTTTGGTGGTGCCCCAGTAGCCACACCCCCTGACCTCTGTTAACCAGGCCTCTGGAGGTAACACACTCAGGGCAAGATGGACTCATGACCAGAAGTAAAAGCTGTCATGTCACCTCTCTCCAAGGACTTTACCCACCATCCTCCTACCAACAGGGATTAGTTTGGCCCCCACCAACCCCCCCTCATGCAACTATCCTGCAATTGCATTAACCCAATGTGTGTGACATTAACTCGGGAGCAGAGAAGCTGGGGGAAGTGTCTACACTAAGGCAATGTCTACACTCGTGGCTTCTTGTGCAAGAACCCACATAATATCCACACTGCCCGCCTGCTCTTGCGCAAGGAAATTAACAGTACGGAGTGACGGAATGGTAAGAGAGGGCGTCTTGTGCAAGAGCTACGCTCTTTTCTAACGTGTGTAAGCTCTCTTGCGCAACAGGGCAGTGTGGATGCTCACCAGGGATCTAAGATCACTCTCCCTATTAATGAGTCTATACTAGAATGAATGATAATTTTGTGAAACTGCTCTACTTCGTTTCTGCAAAATGCAGGACAATGTAGCACTTTAAAGACTAACAAGATGGTTTATTAGATGATGAGCTTTCGTGGGCCAGACCCACTTCCTCAGATCAAATAGTCTGAGGAAGTGGGTCTGGCCCACGAAAGCTCATCATCTAATAAACCATCTTGTTAGTCTTTAAAGTGCTACATTGTCCTGCATTTTTCAGGGCACACATGCACAGACTGTTGTGCAACCCCCAGGATGAGTAGGCAGAGAGAGGAGTGCACAGTCCCTTGCAGCCCGATGCCTGCTCCAGCTTATAGATAGGGAAAGTTAGAGAACTCACCTAAAGTGCCCTCCCCTGGTTCCTCTGAAGTTGGAGGGACATTCTGCACAGCTGCCCAAGTGCAAGAAGCCCTTCTCCTCTTCCTGGGTCTCAGAGAGCTCCTCAGTAGGAGGAGAGCAGTGGAGATGCTTGGTGAGGCCAGAGCAGTCTGAGCTGCAGCTGTGAGAGGCCTCTGGAGGCCAATTATTTTGAAATAGCAGCACCGGAATGTCCACGCTACCGTTATTTTGAAATAACTATTTTAGAATTAGCGTTACTCCTGATGAAAATTGATGGGGGTCAGACTAGAAGATCATAATGGTCCCTTCTGACCTTAAAAAAAAATCTATGAGTACAGATTTTGAATTATGCAGCCGCTTATTTCAAAATAATGGGCTTAGTAATGTGGATGCTCTGCTTATAAATTCAACCTGCGTGGAAGGAGAGGTATTTTGAAAAAAAGTTCTAATGTAGACCAGGGCTTTGTTAGGAGTAGGAATGGGAACTTAAAGCATCAGCCCAATCACAGCTGTCTGTGGCTGTGATGTTATTGCCAGAAGTCTCTTTCTAGCAAATTTGCCTGAGAATTATGATAATAACCCATTTATCGGTGAGAAAATTGAAGGATGAGTCCTAACTACCAGTCTTTGGCAGACTTAGGTGCATGACATCAAAGGAGAGTAGAGGTGAACCCACGCAAAAACAAAACAGGGCAATGACTGCACCAGCAAAGCTCTGCATTTGCACGTGCAACTACATATTTGCAAGCTAAGAAGAAGTCACTGCATACAGAAGTGTCACTTTGTGAAGGCACATGCCCATTTACATCCAGAAATTTGTCCCTATTCCCCCCCCCCCCTCCACACAAGCCCCTTCCTCTCCCACCCCTTCCCCTATTTTCCCCCTCCCTCTCCACACAAACCTCTTGCTCTCCCACCCCTTCCCCTGTTTTCCCCCTCTCACTCACCCTCTGCACAGGCCCCTTCATCCCCCGTCCCTTACCTTCTGCCTTCCACTTTGCAGGGCCGGAGTCTGCGCTTGGGCCCTAGAAGTCCCCGGACTCCGAACCCGGAGCTAGGCTGCACAGCGCAACCCTGCGCCAAGCAGTTTTAAAGTCCCGGCCCACGACATCATGTCACACCCAGGCATTTCCCCATTGACCTGTAAATGCCGCACATGGCAGCAGCAGCTGGCAGCATGCACTGGAAAGGGGGAGCCGGACTTAAAGCTGCGCA